GGGCCGAGCCGAGCCGACGCGGAGCTACGCGACTCAGGAACCAGCACTGACGGGCCGAGGGTGGGGGTGGCGGGCGGCGAGTCAGCGGGAGGAGCCGAGGGCGCCCCGCCCCGCTCGCAGCGCGCGTCAGCACGCCGCTCGGCGCGGGGAGGCGGGCTCTGCGGGCCGCGCTGCCCGTCACTTCTCGAGGCTCCGCCCGGTCATCGCAGACCGCAGCGCACGTGAACACTCCCACTGTTTGGCTGGGCGCCTGCTGCTACGTGGATCCGGCTAGAGACCCGGAGTATGGAGTCGGGGACCCGGGCCGAGTCAGTGATAACCCCTGCGAAGCGCCCTGGTGGCGGAATACGCGCTTGTCCTGGCTGGGCCTGCGGGGTGGAGCGGGGTGCGGCGGGGGTGGGTGGAGCGGAGCGTGTTACGTGATGCTCGAGTTTGTATTAGCACTTAAGTCTGGCGTGCTCTGCCTGGGGTCTTTGCGGAGTTATCTTTTGTGTGCTGCGGTTTAGATGGAAAGCTGGTGAAGTTCTTGCCTTTGTGGAGCTTTCGTCCCAGGCAGGGCCTTATTCAGTCAGTAAATAACCAGTGAAGGGCTTCCGATCCTGACGGGAAGTTCTAAATCTGGTTCAGTGTATGTGTGGAATTCAGTTGGCAGTAGTCAGCCCCTTTAAAAGCCATGATGCCAGGCGAAACCCAGATTGTGTCTCTTGCATTCATCATCAGGTGTGTTCTGAAAAAGACCTAGTTTGTGAGTTGGACTGGGGATAACTGTGTAGCTTGGTATTTAACTTTTGGACCCTCAGCCTTAACAGTAAGCTACTACCTTTAAGGAATTAACCTAATAATCCCTGAGTATTAGCAGTGTATGAAGGAAAGATATGTATGATGTGGAGTTGGAGGAAAAGTTCTGGAATAGAGATTTTTTTTGCATGCTCATCTTTATTTTGTATCTGCATTGCTTTTTTCAATTAAATGTTAACCAACATTGTAAAGGAAGTAAATGCTTCAGCAAACGAGAAAATCCATATTAGATACAATTAGTATTCATAAAATTTGTAACTTTCCATAATTTTTCTGAACACTTGTTGCATTCTGTAGAAACTGATTAAGAAAATGCCTCACTGGTCAGCTTTTTGAGCTCAGATGGTCTCCTTCCTGGTGTGTCCCATCCTTCAACACAGCAGCCTGGAATAGTAAACTTCGAAGATCTTTTTCAGATGTATAAAATGTTAATTCAGCTGAGCTACACCATCAAAGAGGCTCAGAGAGCTCTCCGACTGTCAACATACAAGTTGCCTCATACTTTTTAATCTTGGACAGAGTTGTCCACATGGTAGAGAGAGGAAATGAAGATGTTGAGAATATTTGGCCTAGGTGGCCTTCATTTGGTGTATTCCATGTGCCTCACAAGTGTGACTTCCTGTACTCAGGTAATTTAGGAGTTTCTAGTGACTTTCATTGTTTTCTGTTTTGACCTTACCAACTTCAGAATCAGATCCCCCCTCTGTGCAATCCTTTGTAGCAGTTAAGGTTCACAAAAGAATTTCAAGTGCATGATTTGATTTAATTCTACAGAAAAGCTTCAAGGTAGGTAATGTTGCTATTACACCTCTTTTCATATGGAGGATATAGCACCAAAGTGGTGGGTGTGCCCGAAGTCACACGGCCTGAAAAGAACCCTCTTCCTTCTAAGGATCTAATCTATTATTTTTAAGATTTTTTTTTTTTTAATGTATGTGTATATGTGTGCACCTTCATGAGGTTATATACACCACACAGATCGCTTGGATACAGGCAGTTTCAACCTACTTGTGGGTGCTGGGAACTGAATCCCAGGTCCTCAGCAAGAGCAGTAAGCACTTTTAACCTTTAAGCCATTTCTCCAGGCCCTACATCCAGTGGTCTTAAGACTAGCTTGAGCTGAATTGTGGTAGTTGTTCTGAGCATGGAGAGGGAGCCTTTCTCCCTTGGGAGTGATTCAATAAAATATCTGCCTCTAAAACCCCTTTCTCGAGAGTTACCCATTGTGACAGAAACCTTACAGACTGGACTTTGCTGCTTTTAAATATTATATTGAAACATTATAAAATATACTAACAATTATAAGAAGTAATGTTAAGAGTACATGGAAACAAGTACATTTATAAACTGTGGGTGGGAGGATAATTTGGTACAATTTTTATAAAGCGGAGTTAGCATTATATGCACATGCATTCGTGCCTGTGTGTAGACAGAGACAGAAACACTTGGATCTTGCTGTTTCTTATGATTATTTTCTGAGGAAACAGAATTTTAGCTTAAAATACACGTCACAAGCCTTGCATGCTATATGTAATCCCAGCACTTGGGAGGTAGAGGCAAGAGGGTCAGAGATTCAAGGTCATCCTAGGCTACATGGAGTTTGAGGCTAGCCTGGGCTACATGAGATCTGTCTTGAGTTTTTTTTAAAAAAAAAGTGTGTGTGTCTGTGTATGTAGATACATATACGTGTATATATATATATGATGCATTGAAGATGAAATTATATAGATGTCCCCAGAAGATATTATTGTCCTTACATGTGGTGAAATATTTTGTAAAAATAAATTATATTGGAGAACATCTAATAAAAGTATGTTGACTATATATTATGAAGTAATGAAAATTGCTTACATTATATAAAATATCCCATGTTTAAGAAGAAATGCATGTTTAGCAAAAAAGAAAATCATTAAGATGATGTTTAAAAATTCTCCTTGAAGCCAGGTGTGGTGGCACACGCCTTTAGTCCCAGCACTGAGGAGGCAGGGGCAGGTGGATCTCTGTGAGATCAAGGCCAGCCTGGTCTACATAACAAGTTCCAGGCCAGCTGTAGCTACCAGGGAGACCCTGTCTCAAAAAAAATTAAAAATTAAAAATTTTCATTGAATACAGTGCTTGGTATGTTTTCTTTGAGCTTTTTTATATGTTTCTAAATTATATATAATGAATTCATGTTACTTTTGTAATGAGACAAATATTTAAAACAGTATAGTTGTTAGTGATTGAAATGTCCCACTTGTTAGACTTCAAGTAGGACCTTGCACTGCTGGCAAATCAGAGAGAGTAACAGAGTAATGTGCAGTTTCATGCATGGTCTTGAGACTAGTGAGAGAAGATGAGAAGAAGAGGTACCTGAGTCACCAGACTAAAAGTAGGCCATGTGTATTTGCATACATTCACAGGCTTCCGATTACAGAGCCACAGCTGGATTTTGGTTCAGAACATCCCCACTCCTAATGACTGGGGACCTCCATAAAAGCCTACGGTAATGTCCACTGAAGATGTTGTTTCTGACTCTTCTTTACACTTTTAACATCAGCTTCATTACACTTGTATCTTTTGCAGCCAATGCATTATTAATGGGACAAACTTGATTATTCTTCATGAAAATTAGAAATGAATAATTGAGCTGAAATGCTATATCTTACATTTTGCTTTAAAACAACATAAGTAATAAACAGTATGTGGTATAGATATAGATATATGAAACAAGATTGTCCATAGATTGATAACCTTTCAAGCTGAATGATGAATTATTGGGAATTCATTGTGTTATTCTCTCCGCTGTAGTATATAGTTGAAAATTTGTCCTAGATCCATTAAAACTATTACAGCATAGTAGAAAGTTTCAAATTCCACATGCGATTTTGAAATTCGTTTCAGCTGTAGGCTGAGTGACCTGGGTCTGGACAGATGGCCAAAGGCCAAAAGCTTCAGGGTATCTCGTGTCAGAACTGCTCCAGTGATCTAATCAGGGAGGGGAGGTATCAGGAACAAAGCCATCTCTCCTTTCCTCCTACAATTCATCAGGGCTAGTGATTCCTCGCACCTGGCCTCTCAAGCTGCTTCTTGCATAACCTTGCCATTTTGTGAAGCTTCTTGCTGGCATAATGCTGATTAATGTTGAAGGCATTGCCCGGGTACATGTAGTGTTTCTCAGTGCTCATTCAGGCTTCCTTGTTCATGGTGCAAATATGGAGGATGTTGGCAAGCCCTTGGCAAAAGTGAAATTGTCAAAATAAATGATGGAAATATTTAAGAGAGTACTTTAGTAAGTATGGTATATGTGACTAATGAATCTATCTTATCTAATTTCTACTCACAGATCACAGTTAAATATTACTTGAGATCATTAATTAACCATAAATAAGGAAAGGTTACTTTTAATAAGCCTTAACAGATGCAAATGAGATTTCTGGAATGGAATATTAGCGCAAGCCAGAAATAAAGAAGCTTATTCATAACCAAGCAAAATGGAAAGAGTTGCTACTTTTCTGCCTCAGTTTTTGTCATTTGTGTACTTATGACAGGGCACTGCTCTGTAGCCCAGACTGACCCAAAAACTCATTATCCTCCTGCCTCAGCCTCCCAAATGCTAGGTCTACAGGACCCTACTTGGTCGTTTTAGAAATGAAAAACAGATTAGTAACAGACTTAAATAAGCCAATCACAATTACTCTGTTTGGCTTGTCTCAATAAGTTCTCTAGGATAACACAATGCAGCACTTAAATTTTGTGTGTATTCCTTATTAAAATAGAAAAATGAATTGGAAAGAGTTCCTAACCCCATAGTATGGAAGCTACCATAATTTGAATCAGACACCTTTCTCTCAATCACCTGTTCTTTGCCTCTCTAGTCAGCCGAAATGTCATATTTGTTGGCGTTATCCCTGTATCATTTAGTGTAATTAGTGTCTACTTGTACCAGACCATTCTGGAATATAACAGTCTTGGCTTCTTTCCTGCTCTTACTATTCTTATATTTTCTACTAGTGAAATGGGGGGAAATGAGGGTCCTTGAGAAGATGGAGACATTCTCATTTCAG